TGCATTACAAATAACAACATCTTGTTTTCTTTTACTTATTGATTGACGCCCTGCAGTCGAGTATATTGACTTTATCACATAATAAACCCCTAATATATACAATTCCTAGCAGACACTTTTACTGCTGTGTCCCTCCTAATTTGTCCATCTTTTTCCCCTTATTCTGTAGATAATGAGTGAGAACCTTGTTATCGACTCGTCTATACGTTGATGAATTATCCAGACTTCACAAAAGGCCAGGCTTATCAGCAAATATCACATGAAATTGGCATGTGACTTGAGTAAAGTCCTGAGATAGAGCGTTGACTGTTCACTTGTGTTTGAAGAGAGCCTTTTGACGTGGATTTCTAATTATAACCTTTGCCGAAATGCTGCTCTGCCGATTGCCAGACTTTTCGGAGGCGATCTGTTATTAGGCAGTAATGTCTGACAGCCATTTGTTTGTTCAGAGAGATTTTTCATAGAGGTGTGTGTGGTCTAGTTTAGGGGTATGGCTGTTTTCACACCTGCGTATGTACACAACACACTAGCAACTGTGTCTCGGAACAGTTAGCTGTGCATTTCCAAGGCCTTATTCGTGTAATTATTGCACCACTCCACTCATTGCTGTTTAAAATCATATTGGATGAACATCTTTTCGAACCTCTCTTGACCTTAGCTTTCAAATGGGTTTTCTGAACAGAATGTGATGTTCATGTGATGACCTTGAATGAATTTATGCCTCCAGGTGTTATTTGTTTTCCTCCCATAAATTGAATATGTCTCTCAGCTGCTAAAGTCAGTCGCTCTTCTGAGAAGTTTAAATTTGTACGTAATCTGCTGTAGTGGATAATAAACCATATCAAATTGGTCTGCGTCATATGAAAATCAGTTTTGACAGTCACTGGATTAATTGTAGTTTATCTGGAATTTCTGTAATGCATTTTGATCTTAAACGTTCAGCAGGTGATTTCTTGAGATTTTGTCTGTACTTGGCTATACATACTAGGTAGGATAGAACAACTAATATCAACTGGGGGAGTCTTTAGCAGCTCCATCCTCAACAATTTAGAGCTTGTTTCTGAACTAAAGCTTTTACAGATGACCTAAACACTTATTCCATCCTCATTGCAGCAAAATTAGATTGCCTAATCTCTCAGATAATGTCTTGGTAAAGCTTGCAGATCTCGAACACAGTGCAATTAAAGACATTCAACTTATGAAAGCAGCAAATTAAGATTTAAGTTAGTGAAGATAAGATTCTTGCGTGTGCATCGATCGCTTTTTATGTCTTTGTAATCACTCAACCATGTAGCATTACAATAATCCACTTAGGCACTCTTTGAACTTGCTTTTTTTAATGGTTCTCAGTGGGTCTTAGAAGTATCTTCTACCCCCACTGTTTCGTCCGACTGTTTGGCCTTTAGTGGAGTGAACTGTCAAAAAGGAACTACTGAGGCGATGATCACTCTGTTTTATCATTTAGGCTCCATTGATTCACACTGGCATGATTGTATCATACTGGAACAGCAGTGTAAAATCAGTTTTTCTTTTTCTGAAGCCTTTTTTTACTTGTCTCTTGATCTCTCAAAGTCCCTTCCTCTGTGCATGTTTGAATTTTTGTATGTGTTATTTGAAGCTATCAGAGATGCATGCAAACAAAGAATCACGTTAAATGTACGTTTGGGTGTGTTTGTCAGATTTATGTCTTTCGGACATTAGGGCATGGGGCGAGAAACAGACATTTAAATTAAAGACTTTTGGAAACATCCATTTATAGTTGTTTACTGAAAATGTCTGAGGTTACTTTAAATTTCTAATGATAATTTATTTATATATATGTTTGTGTATGTTTTTAGAATTTTAACTGTTTTACTGAAAAAGTGCATATATTGTCTAATTTTGTATAATGTAGCTGCATTTTAAATGGACTAACTTACATTTAAGTGATTAGCCAAGTCCCCCCCCCCCCCCCCCCCCTTCAACTGCTGAGGTTAGTTGCTCCTTTGAGAAGTTCCATAAATTACAATCCTTACGAAACTGCAAATAATGAACCATAGCAATTTGATCCGTCATATGAAAATCAGTTTTGGCATGCTCTCGGTTAATTTATTTCATGTTTTCTTCTCTCATGTTTCACCTATTTCAGTACTAAAAAGACAATTCACTCCCTATAGAGTAAAATAAGCTTTGGTATCTCATTACTGTACAGCAATGAAAGTCATCCCGTTTTTTTTCCATCCTTTTCAAGTCATCCTTTTTTTAAATTAAAATGTATATATTTAAAATTCGGTACAATAAATACAACGATTCAAATATTATATAATGTTTCCATATTACAGTAATGGAATTGAAATGTTTTCACCTTCAGAACTGAGATGATTGTGTAATTGTCATCCATGCATACAAATTAATGTATGGAGCTTTAGGCCAGTGCTGTAAATTGCAGTCCCATCAATCCCTGCGTCACTGCCGTTCTTCTCAAACTTCAAAGATAACTTTTGTGTGTGTATGTCTATGTGTGTGTGCGTGCGTGCATCCATGCCCACAAGAGAACTCATGCTTGCTTGTGTGTTTTTTTTTTTGTCAGTCAGAATGAGCACGGTCTCTTGTGGGTATCGAGTTTGGCGTGTGGTCTTGAGCGTGTGCTCTCTGCACAGGACAGAATCAAGACTAGATGGCTCGAGAGGTGGCCAAACGAATGCCCGTCAACCAACGTGCCAGCATTGACGCAGGCGATATTGAATCAGGCATTAGCAGACTGATGACTTCAACCTGAAGGGCTCTGCATTGTGAAGCTTTCCACATGGGGTTTCCAGCTCTGAATAAAGCCAGATTCTTTAATCAAGACCTTCTATAGCGCTGTCAATAGCATTGATATTAGGGGATGTTTAAAGCTGTGAATCATACTACTAAACACAGGGTGCACTTTGGATATCTGCACCAAAGGTGGCACAATGAATTAGAGGCAGTATTGTGATGAAACACAACGATCGATGACAGCTGGCTGATTCGCTGATCTAAGTAGCCAAATTAACCGTTTCACACTTGCAGATTGAAATGCTTCATTAGTGCCTACTGACTATTTAGTCCAGAGTCTCTGAGGCGTGACAGTAAAATGAACTAGATTTCTACATTTTCTATTGAAAACATGCTTGCAAATGTTGCTTACATCACATTGTTTGTGGCCCACCTCCAAGTTTCTATGATATGCTTGTCTGAAGATATATCATGGTTTAAGTTTTGTAAATTTTTGTATATGGCAATATTCACATTTTAAGAATTTTTCCCTTTCAATTTATACATTTGAATTTCATTTGGCACATCCCTCAGGAGGTCTAATTGGAAGACAAGAGATTGAATTTTTATTCTGAAAGATCAAAACTCTGATATAAGATTTGCAGCACAAACAGTATGGATCACCTTAAAGGTTGATACTTAGGGTTATATGGTCCCTTAATCCAAGTATGAGCAATGGGGTTGATTGGAGAGATTGGGACATGACTCAGGTCAGACTCAAACCTGGGACCCTGTAAGCCTATTATATTTTTATATAAAATAATATATTATGTTATAAATTATTTTACTGTACTATATTTAGCAAAGATGATTTTGCATTCTCTTTTGATTACGAGGAAAATATTTAGGTAAACTTTCATTTAGCCTTATAGCTATTATTCTTTGGATTTGGAAGTGGTAGTTTTCTTAGTTCTTCTAAGAGAAATGGGTTGGAATTATTACTTTTTGGAAGTATGACCAACATAAGAATTTTAACCCTAAAGTGTCATCTGAACAAGTAAGTAACATCCACTTTTGTTCTTCTGACCAACTAACTGAAAAAAAAGCATTGCAGTAAATCGCGGTGATTAAATCTAACAATCGCTTATATCACATCAAACGTGCAAATTATTCTTTGTTCTCAAATTGTTAATGTTAACAACATCAGCATTCTTTCACTCATAGCCTACTAGCCGAGACTCCTTCTTTATGTGTACAGATGTGACGCAAAGACATTTCCCGCGGAAATCCACCAGTACCACTGGAATTAAAAACATTATTACAAGCTTACCGCTTTGAATCGAGCTAAGCCAAGGAGAACGTTTTGAACACTGGCTGGTTATGTACTTGCTCAAATTATTTTTGGATCATTTTTAACCCAAAAAAGTTACGGACTGGAGCTTTAAATTGCCTAATTAACTATTTTCTTGACTTATGAACTCTTTTAAAGGAAATTGGAACTACGCACATTTACAGTCTACAGTATGTATAAAACACATGTTTGGTGTGAGCGCACAGCAATGCATCAGGTACTCAAGATGTAACTCTATGTTCCGCAGAAAAGCTTGAAGTATCTTCAAGCTACTATCCAGTGTCAATGCTTAAAATGGTGCCATAATTCCTGAGGCTGATACACTGCCAGTTTATCCATGCTTCTTAAACGGCAATGGGAGAGTATGGATAAAGGGTTTTACAGTAGTAAACACCTGTCACACACCAACCTCCAAATATGATCACAGGTTTCGTGTCACTGACACATTTCTGTAAATATCACATAGTAATATTTGATTAACCCATGAATGTAACTTACAGATTAAATTATTCAATTCAGATCCTTATTTTTGCACTTATTGCAACTCAAAGCTCCTTGTTTTTATGAATATCTCCACAGTCCCTTGCTATAGTCAAATGTGCAGCTGCGTGCTTGGTCTCATATTCATCTCCCTGTCCCATCCAACCACACCATTCACCCCCTCTCCTCCCCCGGTCCCACTCCTCTTCCATCAGCTCATGATTTTTTTAATTCATCGTAGCCCTCCCAGACTCTCCCCTGGCCAGTCAGCGCAGTTCACAGCACTGAACATGTATAGGCATAAAGCACAGTGATGATAAGCACATTAAAGCTGCTGTATTGGCTTGGGGAGGGGCTAGCACCAAGCTGCTGCCTTATTGGTGATCTGAGTGGCAGGGGAGGGGCTGAGAGGAGTACAGGCAGAGAGAGAGAGGGAGTGAGGTGAGAGCTTTGCGCTAGGTTGGGAGGGAATGCCCACTAGATGCGGCTGCTGATAATAGCGTGTATCAGCACCAGAGCAGTGATTGAGAGCACAGTCAGAGAGAGGAGGAGAGGAGCAAGGAACAGAATGCCGTGCCGGAGAGTGTTTAAATCAGAGCAGCGTGATTGACTCAGGCAAACAAGGATAAAAAAAATAAATAAAGGGAGATCTAGAGAGTCTCTCGGAGCGCAAAATCCTGAGAGGAGAACGGTGGTGGAAGTTAGAAGGCTGTGGGAACTCATCAACTGAGGTCAGCAGGCAGGAGTGTGGGATCGAGCAGCTGCTGAACCAAGCCGGACATTGCTTGGGCTGGGGGTGGACACTCTTTTAGAGGGGTAAAGAGGGGCATAGGGTGAAGGAATACTGCTTAAATTTCAGTTACACTCAACGTGCACCTGCTTGTGGGAGTAATGCTTCTGGATATTACAGCAAGGCTACGGTGCAAGCTGCCACTAAACCGATTTTGCAAAGCCACTGTCTGATTGACCTAATCCTGATATTTTGTGTGAAAAAGAAAGACTAGTTTTTTTGGAGCACTAGAGCGCAAGTTCAAGGTTCTGCTCAAAGGCTATTCCAAGAGACATGCTAGAGAATGAAATAAAGAACGTGGCTTCCGTTCCAGAGCATGGAGAAGTCAAGTAGCGAGGAATCCGCCATCCACCGTAGCCCCTCAGTGGACAGCCACGACTCAGACTTTGCCCAAGCCTCCACCTCCGGGCGGCCGTTTGGAGGACGTGGTTTTACCGCTGGCGCCTTTTACGGGTCCACTGGCCCACGTGCGCAAACTGCTGCTCAAAGCGGGGCGGCTGGCGACGACAAAAGCAGTAATAAGTACAAGGCTCCTAAAGGCAGCAAATACGTGGTCTTTTATCTGGATCTATCCTTTGTGTTCCTTCTAGAGTTCAAGAAGTGCAACATGGCCAGAGGCTGCCTGTGCTGTCTGAAATACATGATGTTTGTCTTCAACCTCATCTTCTGGGTAAGTCACGCTTTGAATTTCCTTCTGCTCTTTTCTTCCTTTACAGGTAGTGAGGTACTGAAGATTTGCGGCCGCTTGATGGTCAGAATTCTGTTACTTGTTCTCTGATGGCAACAAATATACATGAGATGTCATGGTGCATGCTCCTCAGAGTGCCCCGTGCCGGTACTGGGACTTTTCTGTCATGTGTTTTTACAATGTTACGTCAGGCTAGTCATGCTCTCCTTTACGTACTCGCTACTATTTCTGGCTGCCTTTGAGTCTCCTGGGGCACCCTGGGAAAGCTGTGCCACACTCCTAGAATGGGTTTAGCTTGCAACTTGCTTTTGATGAGATGCTGCGATGTTTACACAAGGATCGTTAGAAAACAGTCCATGTTTTCTCTTTAATCACATTCAATTAAAACTCTTAACAACTGTGAAGTTTGTTGGGAACTGACGTGAGAGAGATTTGTCTTCAACTTATTCAGTTAAATGCATTTAGATTTCTCAAATTTCTCAAATTTTATTGTTGAGGATAACCCCTTGAGATTAAACATCTCGTTTTCGAGGGGGTCCTCAATTTGTATTGCTTCAATGAACACTCAATTTATGGTGTTTCTGTTTAATTTTGCTCATGCATTTTTGGTATTATATGGATTACTGTTGATTTATGAGGATGGTCAGTCAGTTTGAAAAGGGCATGTTTTTGTCACTCATTTTTGTGTGAAGCATATCTCAGAACGATGGAGGTAGTGGATTAAAAGCTGAATGGGGGAGAGTGTGTGGAGGACATTAGGCTAAGTCTTTTGTGCAGAGGCACTCATGCATAAACGTTAATCGCGCAAGCTAACAAGGTTCTCGTACTCTGAGAAAGTAATATCTGGGGCGCATCTGGGGCACTGTTAGAGGTCTGAAGTCTGACACTGCATACAATACTTCCCTCATCTATCCACCTCTCTGTCTAATACAACAAAAAGATATGTGCGATTAAATACATCCTAGAGCTTCAGTAAAATCCAGCTAAGTTGTGAAATGTAGTACAGGACGGGTTGCCTGTCACGTTACCAGAGTCCTGAGACTTGTTTTGATCTTGGCAGTGGTATAAGTCTAAAAGGTGTGTGTGCAAAGGAGAACAACATGTGGCAGTGTCGAAGGGCAGGCAATAAAGTTGTTTATCATGACGCTTGTGTGATCTTTTTTCACCAGAGATTAACCCAGAGTGACACCCCCACGGGTGCTTTCGCAGTTCAACGGGGCATTAACCCAGTCTGTGGCTGTGGGATTGTGGTCAAGGGTTGTGAGCTTTGATATGACACTGTCCGAAAGATCTTGAAATCTCTGAATTGCTCTTTAAAAAACAAGGGCTATGGGTTAGTTTTGTGTTTTGCAGCGAAAACCGCCTTGTCCTCTGGTGATGGCAGCTCCTGCTGAGAGATAATTTAGATGTTCTGCTGGTAATTTTCTTTTAATGATTCCTCACACGACCTGATTTGAGTCCCATGAGGTCGTTCCAACATGGGCAGCAGTCAAAGTCCTTGAACTATGCGTGTGCAGTTACCAGCGTGTGAGTGTGATTTAGAGTTACGACATTCCTCAGAGAGTGATGGCGATCGAAGCTTGGTGATCTCCATAGGAGAGTGTGACTCTGTATCATGACACCCCTGTGACCACGCTCCTCGTGCTTTGGTGCTCCAGGAATTGCAAGGTTACCATTCTGTGGAACGCCGAAGCCTGTCACCCCATCCGCTTTAGAGAGCCAGGTGCTGCCGCCTGCTGCCTCTTCACAGAGCTTACGGTTGTAACTCAAGGCACTAGATAAATAGAAGCATGAACCTCAGACGTGTCATCAGGCTCCTGTACAGGACTTCAGCAGTTGCTTGTGACCATCTGGCTTGTCTTTCCTAGGTGGATTAGCTTGGTTTAAGCTGGACAGCTTCAGCACAGATTAGAGCATTTAGTGGTGAGCTTTGTTACACCATGCTGTGTTCCTGATTCTGTAATGGGTCAGTGCTCTCCATGTCTATATGACCCACTACGTTTTTATTTTATTTATGAGGAATGCTTCATAATTTGCCCTAGTGGCACCAAGTGGAATGTCACACATACTACTTGACAAGAAACTGCTGTAACTACTTATCTCTTCAATTTACATTTAGTCAGTTTTGAACTGTTGCTGTTTGTAAAGTAATACATAGTCTGTTGTTATTGTACATATATTTTGTATAAATATATGTATCTTTAATATATTTATATTTTTATATTTAATGTATCTTATTAATATTATTTTATTGTTGTTTTTTTGTGTGTTTTTTTTTTACCCTTTTGTTAAGCACTTTTCACAATAGATTTATAATACTTTTAAAAAACGATTGCGTTTTTTTAAATATTGTTTTTCCGGAGGACCCTCAGCACATGCCCCAAACATTCAGTCTCACCATTTATATTGGTATCTCTGAACATTAAGCTGTGATAAAGTATTTTAACAAAAAAAAATGCATCAGCTTTTATTACATTAGTTAATTGTTAATGAATATCGATTGGTTATTTTTGATTGGGCTACATGTACCTTCTCATAATGACGCCATCAACCTCTCAGACTCAGATAAGCTCACCAGATTCATTACAACCTCATTTATTTCTTGTGAGCTGATGTAATTTGTCTATATCATTCGAATCATGCTGAACCATATTTCACAGGAATGTTTCAGTGACTGTGCTTTTTCTTTGTCCTTCTCCTATCCTGTTACCGTCTTACGGCTGGCTAAAGCATTACATCAGGATGCCCCACAACATCCTTTGTAAAAGACTGAATGCACTGCCTCATTTCACCGCCATTATCATATTACATCAAACCCATTCTTATTCAAACAATGCTGCCACCTCAGCAGTTTGGTCCAAAGGTGTGCTGTTCCTTATCAAAGCTGCTGCCTCTTTGTTTGCACCTTTGCATTTATGAATTCTGAGTTTCACTCCAGGGATTGCAGGGGATTTATCTGCCATTTGGTCCAAGGTAACAGAAGATTATGGATGTCTGTCGATTTAATCACCTAGGTTGACATTTTGGAGTTTGAAATGTTGGTGTTGGTGGGTGCTTCTTTAAAGCTCACAAAGTGAGTGGCAGTCTCAGGGTACTTTGGAAAGGAAAAGGTGTGTGCTGTCGAACAAATGAGCGGTAGAGTGGAGGTCTACACTGCGGCACTTACACTCACCCTCCACCCCCCTACTAGCGAATGTCTGTTTTCCTACAGATTTTCCATCCAGGGTAGCAAATCTATTTTTTCTTTATCTCATTCATTCTTTTATTTCCTCTCTTCTGCGTGAAATCCATTTAAGAGCTTTAATCGCTCTTTCCAGCAGGACATTTTTTTTGTTTTAGCAAGCTTTCACAAGTCTGTTTGTACCGTCAACACTTTCTCCTGGCAAGTGTGTTAATCTGCACCTTTTATTCTGAGAAATCTTTATATCTATCCATCCATCCATTCATCCATCCATATTTGTTGCTTATTAGCATGCATATTACTAGGATATTGGTTGTTTATTAGTACTTATAAAACACATATTAATGCCTTATTCTGCATGACCATATTCTCGTCCCTTAATCCTACCCAATACCTAAACTTAACTACAACCATACTAACTATTAATAAGCAGTAATATCTAATAATAAAACAAATAATTAAAGGATGCGTTTATTGAGGCAAAAATCATGGTCAATAATTAGTTAATAGTGAGAATTGGACCTTAATCTAAAAGTGTGACCAAAAATGAATTATAAAAATTAAAAATAAGAAATAAATACAAATCAGGCTAAGCTCTAATTTGCTAATTGTCTGACCAAATTAAATAAAAAAATGAATTAGTGTTGGGTAAAACATGAAACTTCACACCGCTAACAAACTGCAACCTTTACACACTTTGTGAAGAAAAAAACAGCAAATGAGTTCTACACAAAGACGATTGAATTGTGGCAACTACCATGACAAGGAGTTCACCGCTTGAACAAATAATAAACCACTTTTGTTGATCGTCGCCACAGTATTGTCCTTTTCATTTAGAACTGTTTGCCTATTTCTTTTGGTTTTTGTCTGCACTGCAAATTTAATGCGAATTGAATGCGACAGATTTGTAATTAGTCCCAATTTGAGCACCTGATATAGTTGTTTACCACATTCTTTCCTTAACATAATTTACTTAGCTGCTTATTTTTCTGCGTATCTGGGGGAAATTCTCTCAATAAGTGCATCAGACCTTCGATTTCCTGTACCGTATTTTTCTCCTGTGTCTCCTGGAAGGGTTCATTAGCTCTGGGATCTGGTTGGATCAGTTGGAAATGTTTTTCTTTAAAGGGGGCCTGACATTGTGAAGTGGTTAAGAATCTTTATATATAATTAGTTCTGCACAACCTTACATTACTTAAATACACCAGAATTAAAGCTATTGTGACTGTTAATGGTCTAGTTTGCTCTTTATTTGTACCTTATTTGTGGGGGGTTTTTTCTACTTCCAGAGATACATGCATTGCTTAACCATCCACTTGGCCTGAAGCCCAGAGGTATTGATCTGATAAAGGCCTATTCAGTAGTGGACTTGAGGCAGTAGGCATTGTGCCCTTCATTTTAAGAGTTTGAGCCAATTCTCAGAAACAGAGCGGGTCAGATTATGCCCTTTCACTTCTGCCTCTGACTCATAGCAGCTCATGGACCAATTAAAAATAAATTCACCCTAACCCAAGGGCAATATATGTTTTCATATCTCCATAACACCTTGAGAGACATTTCAGTTGATTCATTTGTCATTTTATTTTTCTCTCTCCGCTCTACCCCCATGAGGAAATAACTTTACCTGTACAAAAATAAATCAAAGACCTGTACAGGGCATAACGAAGGCAACCATAGAAGCACAGACCTATCTGTCAAAATCGTAACTGTTCTTTTTTAAGACCTTGGTGAATTATGTGTTTTTAGAAATATAGGGCATTCAGCACTTTCTTTCAGCGTTTTATTAGCTGTTGTAATCCTG